AAACTGCAGCCAAGGACAGGCAATCACAGCCTCGTATTGAAAAGGCGAAGGATCTTCAAGTTTGGTAATACGAACTTCAACGGGTGGCAAGAAGTTCACCTCCACCGTCTCACCGTCTTGAAGTTTCACACGAAGACCTTCCGTGATCGGGATTCTTAAGTTCACTATAGTAATGTCCCCGGGTAAAGTAAAAACTTCACGGCTTGAGAACTCATAAACTTGAGGAGGTTCGTTTCCAGAAGCCTCAGCCATGATAGAAATGATGAACGACTGACAATTACGATGACTAAGGAAACTACAAACTTCAGCACACGAGGTGCGATGGCAATTGCAATGGCTGTATTCTTCAAGCAGCCTCGCGCAAGGAAAATACTCTCCCCTCCCTCGTGAGGTGCAAATAGTTGTTGCTAGATAAAATGAGTCAACAAACCGATTGCGGTGACAAATCTAAACGACAATGATGGACGCTTAATAGCACGCGCTTTCCTTACTTTACCAAGTTCAGGCGGTAGAAAGAATCAGGCACCCATCGAGCTTTCAGAACCACAAGGCCACAGCTACAGGGCTGGCTGCGGCGGGTCGCACATCCCGTCGCACGTCCGCGTCGACCCGCGTCCGATTGGCTCACGAAGCTATTCGGCTGTCACGTGACCTAAAACCCGAAGACAGAAGTAAAGCGCGGGGGGTTCGAAGGGTCGTCGTGGCGCCGCGGTCGCGCGTCGCGCCCCTCCAGCCGAGCCGAGAGCATCCGCAGATGCGGCGACGTGCTACGGGACGTGCTACTGACGTGGGGTGGTGGTGCCGGCCGTTCCCCGCACCCGCCGCCGAGCCGAGAGCATCCGCAGATTCGGCGACGTGCTACGAGACGTGCTACTGAGGCGGGGTTGGTGCCGGTCGTCTGGCGTCTGTCTGGGCACCCTACTGTACTAGGGATGTGCTACACGACGTGCGACCGAGGGTTCTGTTTGTATCTACCATGGATCAAGTACCACTCACAATATTACCGGAAGACGACTTGTTGCGCCTTGATCAGTATGCGGATGAACTTCTAGAAGAAAATGAAGATTTTAAACATGATGGCGTGCTACTGGTATGTGTGAATCTAGTACATTCTCAGCTTCAGAAGATCACATGTAAAAGTTGGGTTAGGTTGGTCTAGAACTGTGTTTAGTTTCACCAGAGAAAACTACCTGGCTTTCTCTGGCTTAACGCAGGGCTTCTTAAGTAAGTTTATTTAGAAAATCTTCATTGAAACGATTTTGCACCCCAGCTTGGGATACAGATTGTAATTGGGCATAATTCTGTAGTTTACTCGAGTCATTCGTTGTTGTCCATTCATTCTATTTGGAATCGTATTAATTTTTTAATCTTCACTTGTGTATGTTTCAGTTTGAAGTTAGTTCTGGGAAAGGAAGTTCCTTAGAAGAATTGTTGGGAAAGTTCGGCAAAGAGGTTGAAAAGTGTCTTAAGAGGCTGACTCCAATTTCAGTTCCGTACAGTGAGGATTGCTATGGGCATATGTCAACATCTAAAGAATTCCTTAGCAAAGAGGAAATTTCAGCCTGCACTGAAACTCTTCATAATCCCATAAAGTACTCTGTGTCGGATGTCAACTGCTGGTATGATTACAGAACTTTCATTTTCTGTATGATTGTGTGCATCTTTAGCATTTGTTACATTTGTTGAAATCTCTTGTTGCAGCATGACGGCACTAAATGATAGTGGTACCGAAGGGCTGCTCTCTCATTTCTACGATGACATTCTTCCTGCTCAGACAAGTAAACCACCACAATTTAAAAAAATTGTTGGAATGAAAAGTCTCACCAATGAATCTTCTGCAAAATTGAAGATCTTAATGGAAACAAAAACAGTTGCAACAAACTCATCAATTTCACCTGCTGAGAAGACTGCCCACATGTTGAAGACTCTCAACAAAAGCAGAAAAAGGAATAACAAGAAGAAGAATGATGGTCTGGTACCAAAGGGTGTGGATGCTTGCCAGTGCTGGATGTGTGTGTACTCAGATGAGGTCTTGGTTCTTAGTGTAGACGGAAGCACTGTGGAGCCCGATATCAAAGCAACTCATGAATTCTTCAAAGGCAAGGGGTTTCTATATGCGAATGGGGTTAATGTGGAGGCAGACAAGTATAACATGGTATCGACAAACTTCTCGCTTTCTTTTTTGAACAATTGTACTCCTACATGTCTACTTGATGGATCCTATGAAGGAATCAATAGTCCATATCTATATTGTAGTTTTGATCATAGTTTCTTTCCTGTTCATGTCGAAGACCTTTCACTTTGGAGTGTAAACTTTGTTCACCATGGTTCTCCAAAGACGTGGTAAGATTCTTATACTTACAAGCCTTTTTTTTTTCTGATACCTTTTTCTCTCTTATAAAGTTGATGTTTTTCTTTTCTATTATCAGGGTTGTTGTTTCTCCATCTCATGTATCCAAATTGCATTATTTTCTCTCAAAAGCCTTTACATGCCCTGGACATGGAACATGTGCCAATTTACTAGGTCATAAGTACCATGTTCCAACTCCAACTTGGTTAAGGAAGAACGGGATACCCTTCAAAGTGGTTAGTATTTCTTAATTTTATTTCTCATCAGTGTGAAGGTATGATGTATCAAATACATTTATTTATATCTCTCTTGCTCAGGTCGTCCAGAGAGCTGGACAAGGTGTCCTTGTTGCCCCAAACGCTGCACACTTTGGCTTCAATACAGCAGGTGCTAATGTAGCAGAAGCTGTAAATTTTGCATCAAAAAAATGGGTACCCTTTGGGATTGTTTACCCAAAATGCACTTGTATGTAAGTGATACATCTCTTTCTATAGGCTGAACTTAATGCATTACTGCCTATACAATTGTCATTCTTTTGCTCCACAGGCTTGACCAAGTGCATGCTGACATATCAGCAATAATCCTCTCCTTCTGCCCTGAAATGCTTGAAGCATACTTGCACCAGAGAGTACCATCAGTCCCATCTCAACCGGAATTCACCAAGTGTATTGTCCACCCATATTTGTGGAAAGAGTCATTTGTAAGTCCTTTTTAAAATTGACCTAGTAGTTCATGTTATTTCTTTTGAAGCAAACTTAAATGCAGACAGAGACATGTAGTTTACGTCTATCCTTTACGATTTATGCCTTTTACCACTCGACACCTATCGTTTCAGATTTTGATATTTCAAAATCAGCCCAGGTTTAGTAATATAACGAATACAAAAAATACATTTTCACCGATTATGGAGATATTTGAGTGGCCTCATATACAGGTTTAAATGCAAACAAATAGTAGCATTTTCTGTCCAAACTTCATTTAATTTTAATAACTTTATTTTCAAACCGTCCCCCCGTCCCCCCGGACTGAGCTTCACAGTGCCATTAACTGAAAGGGCAACTTACTTTCATATCTAAGATGCCTTTTCATCAACAGTTTTGTATACTTCTTCTATGGAAATATTTTTGTGTTGCAGGACCCAGCACCTCAAGGCGACGGAGCTGCAGAAGGTGAAGTTTCCAATGACAGTGGACAACTGCTACCATCAGAGGATGAAGAAGAACAATGTTGTCTTCAGCCACCAAAGAAAAAGAATCGTCCCAACAGAAAATTAATCAAGTGTCCTGCTTGTGACAAACCCTATAAAGGTGGGCAAAAACAGAGACTTCTTGATCATGTCATTAGCCACAAAGACATGACAGCGGAACAAAATGAGCAAGTGCAAGCAGCCCTAGTAGTACTATTCCCTGAAAGAGGAAACAAACTTCCCAAAAAACAGTGTGTCGTATGTGGCAAATTTGTTGCCAACATGGCAGCTCATAAGAAATCCAAGGCGTGCATCCCTAGGCAGTAGATTTGTGCTTGATTACTCAAAACCAGCTATTTCTGTGAGGCAAATTGTTTATTTCTTATGACATATTTCTCAGTTATGGAACTGCTCCTTAAAATATCAACAGTGCTTATCATCCATACCCCAACTAGTTGTCCTTCTGAATCTAAATTATAATGTCAAACTGAAATTTTAATTATTCCATGAATGAAGACTACTAAGGTGTGATATTATCAGTTACTAATCAGATCCATATCAAATTCCTAATTGTTCTAGGACAAATTGTATTTTTATGATGCTAATTAAATTAATTAAAATGGTTCTATTAAAGTTTTTGAAGACCACTTTGTGGGAACTTGATAGACATGACTGGTTCATACTATTTTGTAGCATTTGGTCTTGTTTAAAGACAATACAATAATTTAGACTGAGGAATGTGTGTTCCACAAAAAGTTAAATGCGCTACAGAATTTTAAAACTTGAAACTTGAATGCTGATGATTTACTTAAAGCCAGAGCTGAGCTTAAACATACATGTAACAATGTTTCGCTATGACCTCTTTTTTTTTTAATTGTAAATCGTTAAAGTAATGACAGCTTCCATGCTTTACTTGGGTGGAAACCTTGCGTAAAAACGATAAGTTCATTTTCTGAATTTAACCAATTTTTTGCACTATTCTATTATTTTGTGACTAGGTCAAGTACTGTTTTAATGTGGCTTTTACATTTTGCTTGTGAAAGCTTACATAAATAAAACTTTTTTCTCAAAAGATGATGTTAAGATTCTATTTCATTTATTTTGCTCTTAAACACTCCATGAAATTCAAACATTAAGAGGTCAACATTTTCAACTATTCAGTGAAAAGAACAAAATACAGCATGTTACATTGTCCATTTGGCAGCCACCATTAGGGACAGTTTCATTCAACAAATTGCACGTTCAACTGCCCCGCATCTGCGGGTGCTCTCAGGTGGTGGTGGGCGGGTGGCAGGAACCTCGACTGCGGCAGGGAAGGAGAAGGCCATGTCCGCCTCGGTAGCACGTCATGGTAGCACGTTCAGCTGCCCCGCATCTGCAGGTGCTCGCAGGTGGTGGTGGGCGGGCGACAGGACCTTGTCCGCGGCAGGCAGGAAGACGGCCTCCTCC